GAATTCTCAAAATTATAACTAGACATTATGAAGAGTCAATTGGGTCTAATTCGGTGAAAAATGTCATTGATTTGTATATTAGTGGTCTTAGGTTCGAACCCTATGACACATTGGTAGTGTGTGTGAAAACTCTCCTCTCGTTATAATTTAGACTATCAGTTGTATTAAAAATAGACATTAGGAGGAAGTGCAACTATGTCTCAACAGTGCCGACCCTGAACAAGGGCGGGAAGTGCGACCACCCCAGGCCCATTGTCCTGGGGGCCTTTTAAAAAAAATTATATATTCATTTAATAATTTTTAAAAAAATAACAATTTGGATAACCTTGGTTCTTAAGATAACATTGGAACATGTGAAACTTCACTTTTTAAGATTTTGAAAATTTCAATTCTAATGTAATAGCCTTAGATTTTAAAATTTTTATATTGAAGTTTGAATTGATATCATTTATTAATCTTGAATGATAAATTTTTATTTAACTTGGACATGTTAATTCTTTTTGTTTATGCTTAAAAAATAAGAGTGACACAATAGGAACGGGCAAAGGGAGAAAGGAAAAGTAGAAAGAGGGGGGGAGGGAAGCAAGCTCTTTACTTTCGCCTTGGGTCCTCAAAAACTCAAGACCGACCCTATGTCCCAATTAAATTATTAAAAAAGAAAAAAACACTACGCAAAATTCTTGGATCTAGATAAAACTGGTCCCAAGTTTTTAAATTTAAAAAAATAAAAGAGAAGTTATTTCAAAGAATTACTTTTATACCTTTAAGCATGTTGGAAGAAAGATAGCACATGTAGTCATGTTGACCCGCGGTTCATGGTGATACTTGGCAATTCTCATTGACTGATATCTCTAAAACCAACGCCATAAATAAAACTCTAAAGTAATTTGATGTATTTTTCCTCTTTTCTTCCTCATCCCTCTCATTTCTCATCTTACCAAAAACAAAGAATAAAATAAAACACGGTTCTTCCTCTTTTCCTGTTCTTTTTCACAAAATTAGTATCTTCAACAGCCTCGTTGTAGAATCTTTTGAAATTTGTTGATCATGTTAATTTTGGGAAAATAATACTCTGAAGAAAACAAAGGTGGTTGTAAAATATAAACTAGCATAAGTAGGAGCTACAAATCTATACAAAATCTGTGCTGTCAATTCATGTAATTTAATTTCTATATTAAACCGTCGAAGACAGTTTGTATTTTTTTATAATTTGTTAGATTTATAATTTGTTTTCTCTTTTGTATTTTTTTTCTCAACATTCATATTGACAACAGTGTATCAAATAAATATAATCCGATCGTGGATAATAAGGATCTATTTATATCTCTGTCCCATAGATTTTATTTCATTCAAATAATGGGTTCTTGGATTTTCTGTGATACAAGAAGTCTTTTTTTTATTATTTTGATTAAGATTAAAATTAATAAAAATCTATATGTACTAATTCATTAATGGATAACATAAGAGACAAGGGTCGGTCCTTAAATATTTAAATATTTTTTAAAATGCCTATTTTTATCCGTTAATTTTTATTATGTTCAGAATATAATCAATTAGAAATTTTAAAATTTATTTTAATATTTTGATTGCTTTTGATTGCGCTGTGCAATTCAATCTTTTTATTTATTGGGATTCTGATTGTATCTACACATTCTAATTATTGGGGTTGCTAACTCAACGGTAGAGTACTCGGCTTTTAAGTGCGACTAGCATCTTTTACACACTTGTATGAAGCAACGGATTCGTCCACATCATCGGTAGAGTTTGTAAGACCACGACTGATCCTGAAAGGAATGAATGGAAAAAGCAGCATGTCGTATCAATGGATAATTCTGAGAATATTTCATTCTTACCGAATACGTACAAAACGTTATTTTAATTGTTTGAATTCTTGGCGTGTAACAAAATTTATAAAAAAAAAATAAAAAAATTTGGTCGAGTGAATAAATGGGTAGAGCCCTAATTACGGTTCCAATTATAGGGAAATAAAAAGTAACGAGCTTCTGTTCTTAATTTTTGAATGATTACCCGATCTAATTAGACGTTAAAAATATATTAGTACTTAATGCGGGAAAGACTTTTCCCATGAGTGGATTATAAATTTCTTATGAGTCCTAATTATTAGCTATTACCCATTATGGGGTAGAGATAAATGTGTAGAAGAAGGCAGTATATTGATAAAGATTTTTTTTTTCAAAATCAAAAGAGCGATTGGATTGAAAAAATAAAGGACTTCTAACCATCTTCTTACCCTAGAATTAACATAAATCAATTAGATGTAAAAAGAGAGGCTAGAGAGTCTGTTGATGAGTCTTTACTTGTTTCCGAGGTATCCATTCTTTTCTTACTATAATACCTTGTTTTGACTGTATCGTACTGTGTATCATTTGATAACCCAATAAATCACCTATTTCTTTTCTGGTTCAAATAGAATTAAAAATGGAAGAATTTCAAGGATATTTAGAACTGGATAGATATCAGCAACATGACTTCCTATACCCACTTATCTTTCGGGAGTATATTTATGCACTTGCTCATGATCATGGTTTAAATAGATCGGTTTTGTTGGATAATGTAGGTTATGATAATAAATCTAGTTTACTAATTATAAAACGTTTAATTAGTCGAATGTATAAACAGAATCATTTTTTTATTTCCGCTAATGATTCTAACCAAAAAAAAAAATTGGGGTACAACAAAAATCTGTATTCTCAAAAAATATCGGAGGGATTCACCGTCATTGTGGAAATTTCGTTTTCCCTACGATTAGTATCTTCCTTAGAGGCGACAGAAACCGTAAAATCTTATAATTTACGATCAATTCATTCAATATTTCCTTTTTTAGAGGACAAATTCCCACATTTAAATTACGTATCAGATGTACTAATACCCTACCCTATTCATCTGGAAATCTTGGTTCAAACCCTTCGCTATTGGGTGAAAGACGCCTCTTCTTTGCATTTATTACGACTCTTTCTTCACGAGTATTATAATTGGAATAGTCTTATTACTTCAAATAATTTTTTTTTTTCAACAAGTAATCCACGATTATTCTTACTCCTATATAATTCTCATGTATGTGAATACGAATTCATCTTACTTTTTCTTCGTAATCAATCTTCTCATTTACAATTAACCTCTTCTGGGATCTTTTTTGAGCGAATACATTTCTATGAAAAAATAAAATATCCCGTAGAAGAAGTCTTTGCTAATGATTTTCCGGACTCCATCTTATGGTTCTTCAAGGATCCTTTTATGCATTATGTTAGATATCAAGGAAAATCAATTCTGGCTTCGAAGGATACCCCTCTTCTGATGAATAAGTGGAAATATTATCTTGTCAATTTATGGCAATGTCATTCTTATGTGTGGTCTCAACCGGGAAGGATTTATATAAATAAATTATCCAAGCATTCCCTTGATTTTTTGGGTTATTTTTCAAGTATCCGACCAAACCTTTCAGTGGTACGGAGTCAAATGCTAGAAAATTCATTTATAACGGATAATGCTATGAAGAAGCTCGATACATTAGTTCCAATTATTCCGTTGATTGGATCATTGGCTAAAGTGAAATTTTGTAACGCATTAGGGCATCCTATTAGTAAGTCCACCTGGGCGGATTCATCGGATTTTGATATTATCGACCGATTTCTGCGTATATGCAGAAATCTTTCTCATTATTACAGCGGATCCTCAAGAAAAAAGAGTTTGTATCGAATAAAATATATACTTCGACTTTCTTGTCTTAAAACTTTGGCTCGTAAACACAAAAGTACTGTACGAACTTTTTTGAAAAGATTAGGTTCTAAATTATTGGAAGAATTCTTTACGGAAGAAGAACAGATTCTTTCTTTGGTCTTCCCAAGAGCTTCTTATACTTTTACTTTTAAGAAATTTTATAGAGGTCGGATTTGGTATTTGGATATTTTTTGCATCAATGATCTAATCAATTATGAATAATTGGTTATGCGATCGTAGAAATGTAATTATCTTTAAATAATGAAGAGATAACAATAAATTTGCATTTATTTCTATTATGAAATGTTCATACAGTAAGATTGAGGGTCGATCAACTGAGTATTCAACTTTCTTAGAGTCGTGTATAGGGAAGGGACTGAATTTTAGATGTAAACATAGGGAAAGCCGTGTGCAATGAAAAATGCAAGCACGGTTTGGGGAGGGGTTTTTTCCCTCTTTTATTTAAAATTTTCTAATCAAGGAAATTATCTCCTCCATCCGACTAGTTCCGGGTTCGAGTCCCGGGCAACCCATTATAATTAGTCAATATTTCCTTTTTTAGAGGACAAATTCCCACATTTAAATCTGTCCTGTTTTTATTTGTCCAGATTAAATAAAAACAGGACACAGCGAAGACAGCGACCATTTTGTTTTGTAGTCCTAACGAAATGAGCGGTACAAGGTAGGGAGCTCTTGGAGGCCTTTGCTTCTTGTCTGCAAAACCAAAACAATCAGACTCCAATATGCCCCAATGAGTAATTGCTAGTCTCCACCATCCACAAGAACTACTAATAATTTCAAGCCACAACAAACTCATAAAATGATACGACATACTAACACGAACGATAATCGAATCAGCTACTTAATTACCCAATTGATACAAGTAGATACGTACAATGTAATTAGACCGTCGTCTTATTTAAGGATTACAATCTAATATTTTTAGATCATGTCCGAAATGACTAGGATCAATTAGTATTCAGCATAAATCCGAATGATATGAGCGAGAAACGACACATTATCATTACTAATTGAAATCTGTTGCACAATAACTTGATGTGACCAAATTATCAATTTCATCAACAGTTTAAATATCCACAATCACGGGCAGTGACACATGGGTTTGCTGCTATAAATAATGTTACCATCCTAATCAACCATTTAATTAATAGCTTTTGATTGTCCTGGTGATTCCAAACAGACCCCTCCATCCACCTCGCATTATATATTTTTAGGGGTACCACAATAACAAATGCAAAGAGTCATCTGAGTCAGAGGGTTGAAATGGAGAAGCAGAAGAAGAAAGCAGGCATGTCCAGTACATACATATACAACCCCAGCAGCGGACGTCACTTAAAGCCTGAATCAAAGCCTCCTCCCAGTGCTGCCATGGCGGTGGATAAAAATAAAACACCAGTTTTACGTAACTGGTTTAATTTTTCCTTCAGAAAACCAAAACCACGTCCAGTGTTTGATGTTCAAGATGAGCAGAGGCAGCAGCAAGGAAGAAGAGGAGGAGGAGAAGTGGTGGTGGTGGAGGCAGCAGCAAGGAAGTCAGTGTCTCATGTGGAAACCAATTTGGTATCAGTGGCTGAGTTTCTTCAGGTCAAAGTCTTGGTCTCTGACATGCCTGGCTTCATGCAAGTCCATGCCTTTCGCAGTGCAAGGCGAACTTATGACAGCTTGGAGAAGTTTAGCTCCAAACACATGGCTTATAACTTAAAAAAGGTATGTCGTATGTGTGTTTCAAATTTTGTTACCAATTCAATTCTCCTACATCTAATTTCATCTTGTTCTTAAATTCCATTAATTAAAACAGAAAATAAAAATAAAAAGATTTATGGGTTGTGTTGTAACTTGTGATGATAATTAAGGGGGAGGGGCAAGAGCCCAAGACAAATGTCTGGGATGCATACAATTGTTTTCTTGGTGGTGTTTCTTTTTGGAATTTCATGACTTGTTTTGGATGATTGGGTTCATGTGTGATCATATTCATAGATTTGATGAAAAATATCAACCACCCCACAGGCCACATGGGAACACACAGTCAATGAGTCACTGACTTGACCAGATATGTAATGTATATTTCTTGGTTGGTGCTTCAATTCTGAGAATACAGCACCATCTCTCTCTTTCTCTCTGTGTGTGTCTCTCTCAAGGGGGCCACTTGACCTACAACAAGCAATTCTCATTGATGAGAGTTGTGGATCTTGATTCTTCTTTGTATCAATGGATCTGGATTGGCAGCATCAGCATGTACATCCTTCTGAACTAGTTGTCTACTTGTCTGCTAATTGGGACTGGACTCCTCCTGTTCCAGCTTCCAACACCCCACGTGTTTTGATCACATTGCACCCGAGTTCGAACTCCCTCCCTCCCTCCCGCAGTACATTAGAATAGTAAAAAATAACCATTAAACAGAAATAGTGGTGATTAATTAACTAAGCATGGCGCTCTCTGTTTCCTGCGCAGGAGTTTGATAAAATGTATGGGCCGGCATGGCATTGCATCGTGGGCTCGGGTTTTGGGTCGTTCGTTACCCATTCAACAGGTTGTTTCCTCTACTTTTCAATGGAGAAACTCTGCATTTTGTTGTTTAGAACTAAAATCCAGAAAGCCCAGGATTGAATTTGCTGTATTTATTCTTTTCCGTTATGTGAGCTCAGATAATCCTTTATTTAATTACTGTATTGTATCACTGAGGATTTAGAGTGTGCATAATATATCAATTACTATTCTGAAATACATATATATATATATATAATATATTTGGACTTATTTGGTCTTTGAAGACCAACGCATTATGTTATTGGATTCATGGTAATATTTTGTTTTTAAAAATGCTGGCTCGATCACCACCAGTGGCAGTGACGCTGGAACTAACAGCTAATCATGACCCTAGCTCACCTAAACACATCCGCAAAGCTAATTATGACCCTTGATGCACATATCATTGGAGATACTTTTGACTCTAATTAGAGATATTCATTTCATGTATGCATATGAAGCTATGGGGAAAATACTTAAATGTGACCGTCATATCGTGTAGTATTGCTGATCTTTGAAAATATATTATGCAATGGCGTGGACATATGATATAGTATTATTAAATAGATATACATGTTATAACATGAATGGATTGATAACACCACGTGACAGTGTGACTGTCACATAGAATGAAAGAATTTATCAGTAAACCTATAGGCCGAAAGAAGAATTAAACATTAATTAATTAAAGGGAAAACATAAAAAAGAAGAAGTGGAGTAATTAGGAGAGATGGAGCAAGCAATGATGAGCAGTTATGGAGAAAAACGAATAGAAAAGGTGGAGATAGGAGTCAAGTATGGTTTGCCAGATTGGTATGACGCTTTCCTTTCGTGGTCCCTTGTGGGTGGCTGCTGCTGTGTTTTCGTTGGATTCTTGAATTTGTCCAAAGCAGAATATGATGGGGCGGTCGGGTTCTGTTGCGGCTGCTGCTGCTGATTGCCAATTTGCTAATTTGGCTGCTTCTATTTGTCCAAGCATATAATAATAATAAGGTGGTGGCCTTATTAGTTTTATTATCCCTAAGTATTCATAACCAAGTTTTTATTTTATTTTTAAAGTCATAACCAAGCTTTAAGTACAAGGAATTTTGCTGGTTTTGGACATTGTATATGTATATGCAAACAGAAATTTCACATATTCATATGTGAACCAACTATGAAGTCATGGAAAGTCTTTCAAATGACCCATCATTTCCTTTGATTCTGACTCCAAATAGAATCAAACACAATGATGAAAATTGAAAAATATTATTTTCGGTCAAAAAAAGTATGTTCTTGCACCTACTAAATATGACACCAATGTCTTTTTCTCGTAACAAATTGTGCAAGCTGAATAGTGTCATACACAATATTTTTGTATTATTACTTTCTTCAAAAGAAAGAAAAAAATTATACGCTTATCTTGTCAATTCTTAATATGAACATTGAAAATTTCGATACGTTTTATTGTACCATCCGGAGCATACAAAAATTACTCGCTTATGTGCCAGAAAAATCGAAAAAAATGAAACAGCTTTATAATTTGATTCGGTGCACCTTATCCTTATTCCTTACGTGTCCTCACAATCCAGCAAGCCCAGTGGCCCAAGAAGCCCTACTGCCCTCAACTCACCCTGTTGATTATTGATTATTGATTATTGACTTTAAAATGAAAGCAAGCCTAGAAAATTGAATTAGCTGATGTTTATTAGCTGTCACCTTGTCACACCTTTCTTTAATTAATTATTATGTCTGGGACCAACTGAGCAAATTGTAAAATTTCTTCAAAACTACTCCTATCTTAAATATTCCCACATTCCGTTGGCCTAAACTTGCTGAAATTTAGCTCTAATCCATCATCACAAGTACTAGATTTGACTTTTGGTCTTCATTTTTTGAAGCATTTTTGTTTTAATGTTTTTTTTAAAAGGCAAGAATAATATTAGAATACATGGTGGCCGGCCGGCGATAGAATATTTAATGTAATTTTTTAAAGGTAAATAATAATTATCAGAAAATCAGTACAAATAAAAACACTGCAAATTTCAGACATCATATTATAAAGGTAAAATGAGAAAAATAAAAGATGCTGCGTGCATTATTACGCAACGTGCTGTCTGTCAATCCTTCAAAGGGGCATATTCTAAAAAGCCCCCACTATAATCTCTTATCTCACATTGAAAACAAGTCAAAATCCTTTTAAGAAAAAAGCCCAACTTTGTTGAATGCATCAAATTTGCACTTCCTACTTTCTTTGAAAACCGCCATGGACAACTTGTCCAATTATCAACATGAATTCGAATTGTGTAATTTAAATTGATTTTGTTTTCATCAACACAAAATGAACTAATATTCGGACTGAGAACCTCACCCAATATCCAAAAGACAATCACTCATTCAGAATCATAATGAACAGCACAATATGTGTAACATTTCCCAAGCTCGAATTCCCTTCCCCGTCGTCGTCTAGATTAATTTAGACTATCGCTTTTATATACAAAAAATGAAAATCACAATAACAACGGCATTAAGCTTGACTAGTAATTAACTTCATAATATACATGTTCTAGATATTGGGAAAGCTATGAACACTCCAGAAGTGAAGTGAAGATTTCCCCATCAACAAAAACTAATTCTGAAAAGAATTAGAAAGAAGAAGGATGAAGCATAAATAAGAATTTTAATGGATATTATTGTAGCTCACCAGACACATCAAGTATTAATTATACAATTTTAACAACATTACATTACAATCACCCTAAAACCCCCCTTCTTCCCACAATCCTTTAATAACATGGAAAAATAAAAATTTAGAAAAAAGGGCATGCACTGTTGAATTAAACAAAACAATCAAAACAAAACAGCTAGAAATTAAGTACAGATTCAATTTCTATGACCTTCGCTTATTCGATCTGGGTCGACGCGCTGACGAGGGCTTTGGTTTGCCGAAGGCGCCGCAGAGGCCACAGCCTGAGACCTTAGGGGAGGGTGGGTCCGTGGCTTGTGGTGAACCCTTGACCGTCCGATACCCGCGTCCGCCGTTGGATCGGCTGCGCTCCATGGTGGGGCCCGCACCACCAGATTCTGTAGCCTGAGCCTGCTGAGCTGCTTCCTGCTGCTTTTCGGCCTCCACTTGGTTCAACGCCCTCTGTAGAAACTTGTCGTCCCAAATCAAACCCGAAGACCCCTGTCTCCTGAAGGTGCTTTCAGACCTTTGCAGCCCCTCAGCCATGTGATGTGATGTGATGATATCTGAATCTCAGAATCTCTGATCTGCGGTGTTGGTTGGTTTGTGATGTAATCGGTTCTCTTTCTAGAGTCTAGAGGCTTCTGCGAGAATGGAGGATGGAGGATGGGATGCGAAATTTGAAGTTGAACTGGGCTATAATGGTAGGTTTTTTATATGGCGTTGGACTTTTCTTCCTCCCTGTTATTATATGAAGGGAGAGAGAGAGGGGAGAGAGAGAAGAGAGAAAATGACAAATGAATATGACGAAGAAAGAGACCATGAGGGTAGAATCTAATCTGCAAGCGATTAATTATGGCTGTGTCTGTGTGTGAAATCTGAAATGCCGTATTTCAGTCTTCTTTTTTCCGCCTTGCAATTTTTGATTAAAACATACATGCCAAAGCCAAACAATTAATTAATTAATTACCTTACCAGTTTTGCTTTTATTCTTCCTTGTGTTTGACTTTTATTTTATTCTCAACAGTTTTAAGAGCAGTTGGGTTTGGTTTGGGTAGTGTTTAATTTTACAAATAAAAATATAGATAAAATTAATACGAAAAATTGCTTGGCCATTCAATGCAGCATATCTGAATCAAAAGTCTTTATTTTCCATGTCTCTCTAAATAAAAGACAAAAAAACGTTACTAAACTAACTCAAGTTTGTCAAGAGTAGCAAGAAAATTCTTGCCTTGGTTGTTGTTGGACATGTGTTCCTTTCTAACTTTGCTTTGAAAATTGGGACATTAATGCGAAATTAATTCATTTTTGACATTTCTTGCGGTGTCATCTTTTCTTTGGTTGTTTTGTCGGCATTATTTTATTCATTGTTTTTGGTACGAATGAAAACTTTTTAAAAAAAATTGGATGACCAGTCAGTCAGTCTGAGTCGCCACTCTGTAGAGCCGCGTGGAGTCCGTGGACCATTAGATAGGTTATCGGGTCAGGTTAAACCCAACCGCGCATCAAACGGGCCCTTTCAAGTTAGCATCAGTCAATCTTGTTGTTCTAGCCTCTAAAGCAATGTGTTTGACTGACTCCCAGCCAGCCAAAACAAGGAATGTGTCTTGACTCATTCTGCCTACCGGCTAGTTTGATTTGAATAATAAAACTTGATCACTGTTGTTCTCATTCATCAATAAACATTATCGTACAAGTGTGTAGAAGTAAATACAACTCAGGGAATATAGCCTACAATTATAATCGAGTGATAATCTAAACTACTCTAAATTAATCTAAACGACATGCGATACAAAGGAAGGTGTGTTTTACAAAGTCAACAACATCGCCTTATAAAGGTTGAATGCATTGACATAATCAACCCCAATCATACACACCACCTGGAATATGATAATACTGAAATGAATATACAAACGACAGAAAGGAGCAAATATGAGCAAAAACCATAGAGACAAGATGTGATATGTGGCTCTATCTGTACAAAAATGAAAACAAGCCCAATACAAAGATGCCAAGTCTTTGAAGATAGTGCATCGGCAGGGTTCTGGCAATAGCCTCCAAATCAGTAACTACGATATCTGAGAGCGAAAGTAGATTCCAAAAAGGGGTATTTCCTAAATGCCAGGAAGCTTCTACACCATGCCCAACACGACACGAGCTTCATCTAGTAACACAAAACAACAACTATTTCTACAATTCTATCTAGCAAAATCTTATCATCATCACCCGAAAATCACTCTTCATTGAGTAAAAGCATGTTTCGTATCAGAATTTCTCTTCAGTTGCTGCCGGCATTTCCTTCCCTCTTGTCAGCTATCTTTCCTTTCTCTTTTAAAATTTCATTTAAAGGTTTGGGACCCTGGAAGTCCACTCTAGTTCTTCTCACATGCCTCACTATCCCAATGTGATCTCTATT